AGCGTGCGATAGTGTGCGCGCCCCCTAACTCTAAAGAAAAGGCGCACGCACCGCGCGCACACGGTTACACACCCTAGGCCCCAAAATCTAAACCCTAAACCCTAGAGGGAATCCCTTGAGCCGCCAGAAGCACCTCGCGTTGCCGCAGGGGCCGTGCAGTGCTTGCTCCAGGGATGTGTTGAACTTTGTGGCTGTCTCGTTCCTTCATGATTATAGTCCCCCTTAAGTAGGTTTAGGGTTTAGGGCTTAGGGTCCCCCTTAAGTAGGTTTAGGGTTTAGGGCTTAGGGTCCTTCTTAAGTAGGTTTAGGGTTTAGGGTTTAGGGTCCCCTCTTAAGTAGATAGAATGTGGCTTTGGGTATATAATAATAAGATCCCCATATACCCCATATTCTATCTACTTAAGGGGCACGATTAGTTGCTATAGCTTCCTGGTGGTTAGTAGTGAATAAAGAAATGTAGTCCCTGCAGAATCCCCATATAATCTACTACGGTATGCCCTGCTAACCCCAGCAAGATAGAGGTATCTGGGGTTTATGGGTGTAGGGGTCAATCAGGCCCTAGGATTCTGAATACAAAGGCATTTGGGGGGTTTAGGGTTTAGGAGGTAGATACTTCGAGAGTTCTTGGAGTTACTACAGGGCTGGGCAGGAACGTAAACAAGCTCTCACGAAGAGCATTACGCAATCACAAGAGTGTTAATCGAAATCACAACCAAAATGGACCTATGGCTTTGAGAAGTCCTCATGATGTCAACTCCCTAGCGCACAGGCCTCCACACATCAACACCCTACAGCCTAGGCCCTAAACCCGAAACCCTGTGCTCCTCCATTCCTAGCTACACTTCGTACAAGCAAAGTGAAAGCGGAATCTGACCGTGGTCCATAGAAAGATGCAAAGGCCGAACGATGAGAACATGGCTGGGCTGGTTATAAAGCTTTTCAATGGGGTAATATAGAGAAGTTGTATAGGATCATCCAGGGATATATAAGGCAGTAATGGGCAGTATAGGATTCATATTCTTTGATAAGTACAAGGAGGGTTACAGGGAAATTGTGCTGGTCATCACTCAGGCTGCGACAGCCTTGTCGAGGGTTCTGCGGTTCCACAAGAATTAAGGATAAGGATACCAACATCTTGAACTGGGGGCACCCAAACACTTGCCTGAAACCCTAAACCCTTAAACTCGTCATAGGGACTTCCAAATGGGTCAGGTCAGACCCAGCAAACCGCAGTTGTGTCTTGGGAAAAAACTCCATCAACCCTAAATCCTAAACCCTAAATAAAGTCTAAACCTGAACGTGCACGCCAGGAAAAAATGCCTTCTGAACCTGCCAAAGGCTCAAGTATGTCCAGTCCGGCACAATGCCCAAGCCTTCAAGGCTTATCAGAGGGTCCAAAAGGGTTTTGGCTTTAGGGTTCGGATTTTAGGGCCCCCTATGATGGAGAATCAAATGGAACAGTGAAAAAAAAGGAGAATGGAATGGAAACTAGGATAAGTTTGTATCCTTATTAAAGGAACTTAGACCCTAACATAATGGAGTCGACCTTCGGAGCCCTTGAGCAAACCTATAGCCCCCTTAAATAGAAAGGATATGGGACGTATGGGGACTTTATCCTGATTTGGGGGAATTCCATGTTCTATCTACTTAAGGGGGTCTATTCCTCCATCCCACCTATGGAGCCCCCTGAGCTAACATGGGTTATTGGTCACTATGAAGTACCGCACGGGAAGCTCTCAAGATTATGGACATATGATCCTTGAACAAGACCCTGTAATAACGAACTTGAAAAGCAGCAAATGCTGAGGTCACGTTGAGGAGCATCGGTCAGCATACTGGATTTCAATCTCCAGCACCAGGCGATATGTGGTTGGATTGTCGCTGTCCCACTCGCTCCAGGACATCATACCTACCCGCCCCCACCCTGACAAGGAAACCTAGAGAGCCCCATACGAGCTTCCGTGTCAGTTGGTAGGAGTGTAATGGTTGCATAATGCTTTGCAGCAGAATTTCAGAACCAGAGCCCGACCCTAAACCATAAACTGAAAACTCTAAATCCTAACCCCTAAGCCCTAAATTCTAAACCCTATAGTCCCCCTTCAGTAAACAGAATAGGGCTTTGAGTATATTATACTAAGATCCCCATATACCCCATATCCTATCTACTTCAGGAGGGCTATAGACCCTAAACCGAGTCAGCCCAGGAAATCCGGTCAAGACGTGGGGCCAATTAAAGCACCTCCTTAAAACAGATCAAACCTCTGAAAAGAAGTACGACAGTCTTGTATAACAACATACTCACAGTATGTATGTGTTCATACATATGTACATGTATATAGATGGCCATATGTCTACACTTGTACGTGCATGTAGATGTTCGGTGGTTCAAAACCAAAGCACCAGTGACACCGTAGTACAGCGCCATGAAGATGTTGTGCGTTGTAAAGAAAGCCTTCGTTCATGGACGCGATTTGTGGCTCAGGGCATGGGGTTTAGGTAGGAATTAATTAAGGTTTAGGGTTTAGCATGTAAGGTTTAGAGAGGTGTAGGGCTTAGTGTTGAGGACTTCAGGGGGTACTTGCTTAGGGTTCAGGGTCTATCAGTCGTTTGGTGCCTTGATGATAGTTATCGCTTCGGTCATCCCCGTTTTTTTGACCATTAGGATATCCAACAACCCAAATGCTGCACCTCATGAGAGCTATAGTCTAAACTCCTAGTATCCCCGTAATAACCCCTATAATAGTGCCCCATATAACCCCCTTTGAGGAGTTTAGGCTATAGCTCATGAAGGCATAGACCCCTTCTCCTAGTACTGAAAGCCCTCACTCCCTAATCAACAATTTTCTCAACTCGCCATACTATACTATCCGATACTGGGATAACGTATTATTAGGCAGTGGTGGGCTTCGTTATGAGGGGCAGGGTTAATCATATACATCTCTCTCTGTATATATATATATATATGTTTCGGATATGCGCAAATTTGATCATGGTTTCAAGCGTCATGCTTCGGGCATGTGGAATCCCTGAACCCCGGCACTCTTAGAATGCTTCAGGTTTGGGTGTCAGGTTTTTATGGTTGTAGGGGTTGCATAGGGGTTATATAAGGATAAAAAAAAGTTTAGGGTTTAGGGTTCAGGGTTTTGGGCCCCGCTGTCCCTACAGAGTGATCAAGCCCAAAGATTTGATCTCATCTTGACACGGGCGTCTGCAAGACACTGCGAACTGCCACCACAACCCGCGACCACGAAAATCCAGAATCTCCTGCGAAAACCCCGGTGGTCTTTAAGCCAAAGCCCAAACCCTAAACATTGGGGTATATAGGGATAATGGAAAAGAAAATGGAAAATATCATATTAGAATAGGGTACAATTATATTGAGTTTTTTGTCGGGATCATGGGAAAGAAAATGGAAACTACTATATGATTTATCAGAGCCTTCCACAGCACGTGAGGCTCTCAGGATCCCGGGGCGAGTCTAGGCATCTGTAGAATGAGTCGAGTGGGGTGTAGAGCACCTAACGCAGCCAAGGAGCTGGTCCAGTAATTGTGTCCGATGCCTTTGCGAACCTGAAGCTGCAACAGGAAGGTTCTTTTACTGTGATCACAAGGTTTTTGGCGTTGAACGTTTAGGATGGTTAAGAACGCTAAACTTTGAGGTGTAGGGAACAACACGGTTTAGGGTTTGGGATTTAGAAGCTTTCGTTTTGCAAAACTTTGGGATTCAGCGTTCAGAGGGGGGTTAGAGGTTTGTCTCGCAAGGATTTGTTGGCGGCTCTAAGTTTGCTCGGGCAAGGCCAAGTGTTCGTAAGTTTAGGGTTTAGTGTTCGTTCCCTGGGCATTGAAACCCAACCCCTGAGTTCCAGTTCTACCGTAAGGATTGCCACAAGAGGTCAACTATTTCAAGAAGTGCCCAAATGTTTGATGCCTCCTAAAGAAACTCGCATGACTTCCCGCATCATTCCGAATGTTCCTAAAATCTCTAAGCGCGCATCTTTCAGAGAAACCCCACGCCCTGAATTTGAACCTACATGTCCCCATAACATTCGAAGGGCTCCCAAGCACTAACAGTCCAGAAGAAACTTGACAACCCTAAGCCCTAAACCCAACCACTTCGGGGGGGTTCTAGAAATTCGTTACCCTACGGACGCCAGGAATATCGAAGGATCATAACTGGGATTATGTAGGTACCTTTCTAGGACTCTATAACGATCTTGTTGAGAAGCTCCCACGTCAAGACAAGGCACCCCATACAGAACATGGGCTTATTGGATGTTCTTGGGACTCTTTTTTTTTCTCAGCCCTACCTTGCTGTGTCTGATGAGACGCTCAAAATGCAAGGCGTTGGCGCAGCACGAGCGCGGAAAATGTAGGTGTCTTTAAAAATGTCTTTGCTGCGCTGCAAAGTATATGTACTGATCTTGTTCAGCTTCCTCTTGGTAGTTGAATCTTAGCAACTTGTTTTCATAAGCATATTTTTTGCTGAACATCAACCAGTTTTGTCTCGGTCTGCCTACACGCTTCTTGCCATAATCTACACGTAAAGCAGAACTAGGAATGAATGATACTTGCCTCATAGGATCTT